GATCCACTCCTTGCTGTCAGACATGGGGCAGCAACTGAGTGAACTAGGGCATATCAGGAGGAGGGCTGTGTAGTTTTACCGTTCTCTGTTCCACAACGATTACAAAGAGAATGAGGAACCGTTCAGTGAGTTCTGCGGGGAACTACCCCAGGTTTCCGAGGAGACCAATAATGAGCTGGAGCACCCCCTGGGGCTTCAGGAACTCCACACTGCTCTCCTCAGCATGCAGGGCCAGAAGTTCCCAGGCATTGACGGGCTTACTGTTGAATTCTACAAGGCCTACTTGGACCTTCTGGCCCAAGACTTGCTCCAGCAGGTCCATGATAGACCTGCTGGAGATCTCCGGTTCATTGGGTTAACAAACTGGCTTGATTTCACTAGATCAAGAAAGGCATTTTACTGCGTTGAACACGGCTTCCTCTGGAAAACCATGGGGGTTTCGGGTTCAGTGAAGGTCTTATCACCAAGATCCAGGTATTGTACAGTGACATTGAGAGTGTGCTGAAGATCAACGGTAGCCTGTGTGTGCCTTTCAGGGTGTGTACAGGCATTTGACAGGGGTGTGCGCTCTCAGGGATACTCTACGCATTCTCCCTGGAACCCCTCCTTCAGAGAATATGCTTGAGTGTTTATGGACTGGTTTTACCTGGTTTTAAGAACATGGTTTTATCTGGCTATGCTGACGATGTTGTTTTTATCAATGATCAGCAAGGTGTCAGTATTTTAACCCTCTACAAATCACCTATAAGAAAATGGACTGGCGATCTCCAATGGAGGATCTTACCCTGCGCCATAGTCACAAACTCGTTTTTATGAAATTTTAGTCCATGGGTTTTTAATGAGCGTCCTTTCTGTGGTCTGTCTGAGAGCCTTTTTCATGTTTTTATTGACTGTAGGAGATTGACAACATTTTTTAGTTTATTGATGAGTGTTTTTAGCTCTTTTGGCATTGTTTTAACCAGTTCTGTTTTTATTAATGGAGTGTGTTTTAACAAAGCCAACAAGTCAAAGGGTCAGATTTTAAATTTTTTAATTGCAGGAGCAAAAATGGCTATTTATTTGCCTGATAGAGACAGACTCCAGGCTGGCCCTCGACTCGATGCCATGGCTCTGTGGAAGTGCAACGTCAAGGCCAGGGTGAGGCTGGAGTTTTGCACTGGGAACATGGAAAATATCCTGCAGCTTTGGGGTTTTAATGGGATACTGTGCAATATATCAACTCAGGGACTCAGGGAAAACTGAGATTTAACAAGCACCTTATTTAATGTTTTTAAGCTTGTCCTGATGTGATCTTGTATGTTTTTAATCATATTTTTTGCACTCTATTATTGTAAATGATTCCACAATTCCACACTTTGTGTGGAATTGTGTATTCCACACAAAGTGAATGATTCAAACTCATTGAACATTTATAGTCCTAAATTGATTTTATGCAATATAAAAGCAGGTAGAATTCAGAGATACCATACCATACCAACTTTATTTATAAAGCACTTTAAAACAACCACAGCTGAAACAAAGTGCTGTACATAAAATAGATAAAAACAAATACAGTTTAAAACAACAAACATACAATATAAAACTAGATCTCGCTGGAATTGAAAGCCAAGTAAAATAAATGGGTTTTAAGACGAGCTTTAAAAGTGGACTGTGAAGGGGCCTCTCTAACCTGCAAAGGCAGGTCATTCCATAACTTAGGACCCACGACAGAGAAAGCTCTGTCCCCTCTGAGCTTCCGTCTAGAGCTCGATACCTCCAAGAGCAACTGATCTGCAGATCTAAGAGACCGATAAGGTATGTAAGGGTGAAGAAGCTCAGTGAGGTAAGCCGGGGCAAGATTGTGCAGCGATTTAAAAACAAACATAAGAATTTTAAAACTGATTCTAAAATAAACAGGCAGCCAGTGAAGTGATGCCAAGACGGTTACATGCTCTCTCTTTTGAGTTCCTGTCAAAAGTCTTGCAGCCGCATTCTGAACCAGTTGCAGACGTGAGAGCAGTGACTGACTGACTCCCAAATATAGAGAGTTACAGTAATCCAATCGAGTCAAAATAAAAGCGTGGATCACTGTTTCAAAATGCTGCCTGGAAAGAAAAGATTTTACTGATGCCAATCGCCTTAAATGATAAAAACTGGACTTAACCACGGCTCTAATTTGGCTGTCCAATTTAAAATCACTGTCCACCTTAAAACCAAGATCTGTAATAAGGGTCAACAGAGGAGGACTCCCAGGAGCCACTGGGTCTGAACACCATCACCTCTGTTTTCTTTTTGTTAAAATTTAAAAAGTTCAAAGCCAATCAAGCTTTAACATCACCTAGACATGCCAGGAGATGTTTGATTGTCTGGACATCTTTCTGCTTCAAGGGGCAAGTAAATCTGGCAATCGTCAGCATAACAATGAAATGAAATCCCATGTTTCCTGAAGATAGAACCCAGAGGCAGTAAATAAATACAGAAAAGCAGTGGGCCCAGAATTGAGCCCTGTGGTACACCATATGACATTGAAGCAGTAGATGATTCGGAGTCTCTAATATTTACTGAAAATGTTCTGTCCTCCAGGTAGGACCTGAACCAATTAAGAACAGTGTCACCAATACCTACAATATGCTGTAATTGCGATATTAAAGGCAGCAGTTAGGTCAAGTAAAATAAGAACAACATGATTACCAGAATCACATGCTAAAAGGATGTCATTAAAAACTCTTATTAAAGCAGATTCTGTGCTATGAAGAGTTTTAAAACCTGCTTGGAAAACCTCCAGAATACCATCCTCATCTAAAAACTGTTTCAGCTGATGGTATACAATTTTTTCTAAAACCTTAGAAAGAAAAGGCAGCTTCGAGATGGGCCGATAATTTGCCAGAACAGTAGGATCAATGCCAGGTTTTTTAAGCAGTGGCTGCACTACTGCATGTTTAAAACTAGCAGGGACCACACCTGAGGACAGACTGCTATTTATAATTGCACAAACAGGCTGCACTATGCTAGATAAAATATCTTTAAAAAGTCGTGGAGGGACAGGATCACGGGGGGACCCTGCTGGCTTAATATGGCCAACCACATCCTCTAAAAGTGAGACAGTCACAGGCTCAAACTGAGTGAAAGCAGCAGAGCGAGGGACCGAAACAGAGGGGTCAGAGTCAGGAGCTATGGTAAGAGCCCTGGCACTACCAACATTCTCAATAAAGAAACCTAGAAAATTCTCAGACATGTCAGGAGAAGCTTCCAAACAGACATTCTGTGGAGTATTAAGCATAGAGTCAATGGTGTTGAATAAGACACGTGGGTTATGTCTGTTTGAGAATATATTAGCCAAATATTCCCTTTTTGTCTCTTTAACTGTGCTCTGATAGAGTCGCCAACAGTCTTTTAAAATTTGAAAAGTAACCTGCAGTTTATCCTTCTTCCACATGCGTTCAATACGGCGACATTTCTTCCTTACAGCACGAGTTCTGTCATTAAACCAAGGCTCAGGGTTAATCTTTGGTTGCCGAGTTTTTAATGGAGCAACCGTGTCCAGGATTGTTTGACAGGAGGAATAGAACCAGGAGCAGAGCTCTTCAGTATCAAAGTGGAGGAAGTCAGATGATCCATGAAGTTGAAGAAAAGCAGTAGAGAACTGAGTGGCCGTGGAGGGGTTAATAATCCGATAACGCCGAGCGGCAGCACGGGTTTTAACTGCAGTAGGTGTCAAACTAACACTGAATAAAACAGGCAGGAGATCTGAGAACACAGAGTCACAGATTTCCATGTGATCCATAGGCAGACCGCAGGACATAACCAGATCCAGTGTGTGTCCGCGCTCATGTGTGGGGCCAGATATGGCCTGTACCAGGTTAAAGGAGTCCAGAAGGTTTAAAAAGTCCTTTACCAGAGGCTTATCAGGACAACACACATGTATATTGAGATCTCCAACAATAAGAACATGATCATAGTTAGTCATAATCCCAGCTAAAAAGTCAGCAAAGTCGCTAATAAAATCCTTATTATATTTGGGGGTCCGGTAAACCACAGCACAGAAGACAGGCTTTACGTGTCTCATCTCAAATGACGTGAACTCAAAGCTGGGGAATGGCGTCGGTAGAAAACACTGCTTACATTTATAGTCCTGTTTCTAAACAGTCGCTGTGCCTCCTCCGTGGTGAATTAAAATAAGAACAGTTCGCTGGTAGAAGCTCAGACAGAGCACTGGACTCACCAACACTCAGCCACATCTCAGTCACACACAGGAAATCCAGATTTTGGTGAATGAAAAAGTCCCAAAGAATAAAAGTTTTATTCGTAAGCGACCTGGTGTTTATTAGGCCAAATCTGACAGGAACTGGAGTATGGGCTTCAACAGGTTGGGAGACCTGGCACAGCGGTCTCAGGTTTTGAAGACACCGCTGGTGAATATAGAACTGGGAGGGGCAATGGTGGCGGTGCAGAGGGGCTTCAACACCAGCCACAGGCACCAAACAGACATCAACGGGATCCAAAAAACGCAGAGGCACCCGAGAGCCTAGAAATAGTCCATGTGATGATCGGGTAAAACAAGGACAATGCGTCAGAAAGAACTTCAGCTTCACCAGCCGGCCGCTTCGTCTACCGCGACAACGATGATGTCTCCGCCGTGTAAGCAGCGCTGGTACCCGAAGCAGGTGACTCGGAATCTCCGACAGAAGTGGGGGCAAGGATTGTTGGTCACCAACATCAAATAACACCATATCCTGGGCCAAAGGTTGGAGGTCTAGTAGTGTGTTGCGATCATACGCCAGCAGAGATTCAGTTCCGTAGATGATACAAGTCAAAAGTAGTGTAAACATAAGCAAATGTAAGAATGACAGACGAGCAGCCATACACACCGGCGCCATCTTGCCACACATCATGGTGTGATGTAAGAACATGACAAATTATTAGAAGCATGCTTCCTGAATACATTTCAATCAAGACTGTTTCAAAAAAAACGTACATTTGTATGAAAGCTGTCATGGCTGCCAGTGAAGGGATTAGAAGATCTAATTTCCATTAAAGCAAGATTTGTCTTTTTGTCGAAGAGCAGCAAGAAGATTTGGGCCTATTTTGAATGTCTCTTTTGAATAATAATGTCCAGATGCATATATGTCCTCAATGCATCTGTTGTTCTTGTTGTATCTCACAAGAACTCTGTCCTTGTTACTGTCAGGATCTCTGGGGTTGTAGTCCTTCCTCACGTTGTAAGGCAGGTCCTCAGCATGAGGAGAGTTGAGGTTCCCGATGGTGTAATATCCATACTCCTTTGTGTCATGAATTACTGGTAGAAGAGGATGTGTCCCATGATTCTTAAACTCATGAAATCCAAATGTTCTTTCAATGGGATTACACAAAGCCCTCATGTTGTTGTCCAGGCAGTTCTGGACAAACCACACCAGAAGCCTGAGACCATGGCGGGGTGGGGGTTGACCAAAGCCACTGCCCTGCAGCTCTTGCTTTGAATTGAGAGTTTTCAGAGTTGATGCAAGAGCTAGGGAACACAGGATTGTGTAAGAAAACAAGGGACAACTCTCTTTGCCTTGTGCCATCTGAAAAGAGAACCAGAAATAATATTGTGATACAAATACAAATACTGTTTTTCAAGCTGTATCCATATATTGGCCGTATCTGCCTAATATACATCCCATAACCACTCACCTCTCGTCAGAAGACCAAAAATGTCAAAATGGATTCAAAATATGACAGCAGAGAAGCCTTCTTGTTCTTCTTTTTACTTCTCTCTGGATATGTGTTTTAAGAGCAGTGAACCAGCTGTCCTGACAAGGAAATGAGTGTTTTTGACTTCCTCTTTGTTATTTAAAAGAAAGGAATTTGGTGGCTGCAGAGCTACTGTGGTAAAGTTTCATTTGCATTTGGACAAGCTTAAGCAGATTCTCTGCAGGTGCCCATAGGTATAGATACACTCATCGGCCACTTTAACAGGTACACCTGGATCCCCTTTTGCCTTCAGAACTGAATTAATCATTTTTGTCATAGGATTGATTCAGTTAATTCTGAATTAACTGAAGTAATCCTATTAAATTTCTGTCATCACAACAATTGTCATCACAGCAATTGTCATTGTGCACAGCTATAAATCCTCTGAGGAATGTTTCCAAGATATTGGAAACATTCCTCACAGAGTCAGGTCCATATTAACATGATAGCATCACACAGTTGCTGTAGGTTTGTCAGCTACACATTCATGATGTGAGTCTTCCACTACATCCCAAAGGTTCTCTATTGTATTGAGATCTGGTGACTGTGGAGGCCATTCAAGTTCAGTGAACTAACTGTCGTGTTCCAGAAACCAATCTGAGATTAGTCATGTTTTATGACACGTACAGGTGTACCTAATAAAGTGGCGGTGCATGTACTTCCAGTGGGTATGATTAGTCCCCATATCACTATCTCACCTGTCTACTTGTTGGATATGTCACTGCTATATGCAAGCCATATCACATCATCCACTAATATCTGTCTCAGTAATGAGAACTAGAAAAATAGAGTAAAATATGATTTAAGAGTAAGGTTTGTCTTTCTCTCTTCTTCAAAGGCTATAAATCCTCAGACATCTTGCGAACATGTCAGCATTTGTTGTCTCAAACCTTTAGAACTAGATACTTGGTGCTCCAAACAGAGGTTGACATACAGTCATTGATATGCATGTAATGTCAGTTATCTGGCTTTTAATGAGCCACTTCAACTGTTTCTGTTTTAAGTAGAATGATGTTAAATGCCTTTAGATATTTAACATCATATTTGCAGGTTTGATGTTAAAGCACATATGACTCTGTACTTGCTTCAGAATTGAAGCACTCATGAGTGCAAAGCAGTCGCCATTTCTCACTGGCTGCTGACCAGTACTTAGCAACACATTGTGATGACAGATAAATGTCTCAATAAATGTCTTGACCAGGGGTGCCGAATGCACCTTATTCCATGAACCTCTGTGTGATTTATGTCCGCAGAGATTTCCCTTCCTTGTTATCAGGATAGCCCTAGGGTCCCGGGGATGGATGAGATTCGTCCTGGGTTCCTTAAAGCTCTGGATGTTTTAGAGTTGAGTTGGTTGATGTGATTCTGCAATACTGCATGGACATTGCTGGACTGGCAGAGTAGGATGGTGGTCGAACCTGCGGTTCAGAAAGAGCAGTATGGTTTTCGTCCTGGTCATGGAACACTGGACCAGCTCTACACCCTCAGCAGGGTCCTGGAGGGTGTGTGGGAGTTCGCCCAACAGGTCTACATGTGTTTTGTGAACATGTAGATCGGAGCTCTGTGGGGGCTTCTCCGGAAGAATGGGGTACTGGGCCCTTTGATATGGGGTGTCAGGTCCCTGTAGAACAGTTTCTGTGAAATTAAGCTGTTTTATGGTGTAGTGATATTTGTAACCATGTCTGCTAATGTTAAGTTCTTTATTACTGGGCATTTTTGGTTTATTTTGAACGCTAATTCAGTTACAATGAGAAAGAAGTAAGATCTCACTGATTTCCATATATTTGCAAGAACAGTTAATGCTCTACATGCAGGTTTGGCTTTTTTGTACAGCCGATATCTGAGTGAGCCAGTGCAGTTCCAGAAGCAGGAGGGTGACTCGGACTGAAGTCTGGGACAGGTGCTTTTGGAGCTGGATGCTTTGCTTGGACAACAAATAAAATAAAGGGGACAAGCAATCCTTTAATTTTTTTTTTTTTAATTTCACAAAAATATTTGTTCAAGAACATTTTCAAAACTGACAACTTACGTGCACATTGACTGAGCTGACTGAGCTGTTATTTCGACTATATGTAATTTTCTTGGGAAAAAAAGACAATTGTTGAAGTGAGTTTTAAAATTAAAAGGTAACAAAACTACACTGATTGATGTTTGAACATTAACTTGAGGGTGGACAATATAAGTTTTTAATTTATTTTTGGTTGGTAATTGGTAGTAGCTGGATTTATTTTTTAAGTGGAATAAACTTGACTTGTTAAAACTTATTTGCGGTCATCCTCCTGTGTGACCCGAGAGCATAAGTAACTTTACGACTGAAGTCATTCTTTATTCGGTTAAGTAGTGGTTGCACATCTTTAGCTTCATAAGTTTCCATTGTTGCATAATTTATGAATAGAATGCATAAAAAGTGTCTCATCAAAATAGAACAGCTCTGTGTGAGCAGCAGAGAAAAATGTCATAGTCACTGTCACACTTGCTAGACTAAAGTAGATCTGTGCTTTTTGTACTTCCTCGATGGAACATGGATATTGAGCGAGTTAGGGTGGAGGTAAATGCTCCTGATAAGCCAGTCTGACACTTCTATTGAGGAGCTTCCAGGCACCCCAGGGCTCGCTCTAAGCTGCACTGTCAGGCTGCAGCCTCCTCACATCATCTTCCTTACCCTCCACACACAATGTCCTCTCCATTTCACCTACAACACTCAGCCAAAGATTCTAATCTTAATCAATCTTGAGAATATGCTCATGCTGTTATGTGTGTGCGTGTGTATGTGTGTATTCAAACAGCCAAATTTAGGAAAGCTAAATCCATAGCAAAATGCAAAATTCAGCAGTGTGAATATTGAAGAAATTAAAAAGCAATACTCAGAGTGGGACAAAAACAAGATATAATGCAACAAAGCTCCAAAAAGTCAGATGCTGGTCTCACTGTACCCTGGAAGTGATTGTATACATTCTGATCCAGTTTATGCAGCTTTCTACAAAATGCACAGTGTCAAATTTCTTTAAAACTTATAGTTTCCTCTTTGTCTTTAAGTTTTGAAAATTTCAACAATAAAGAACAAGTGTGTATGTCTACAGTGAAGCATGGGGGAGTGATTCTGCAGTAAGATGTATTCTCCATCAGTGTTTGTTGTTTCTAGGGTTCTAGGATTTTAACAGCAGATTCTGGGAATCAGAACTGAATCCATCAATGTCACATCAATGGCATATTGTCCTCTGTGATTGTAATTGTCGTGACGGTCATAGGAATTGGCTATGCAATCCGCCTGTTTGATTTACCCGCCTCTATCATTGTGTCCTTGGACAAGACACTTCAGCCACCTAGCCTGCTGGAGATGGTCAGAAGGTCAGATTGAGCAAAATGAAGACCTCTGTGCTGTCAGTCTGCCATAGGGCAGCTGTAGCTACAATTTGACTGATTTTATTGTAATGCGTCTTTGAGAACCGCTATATAACTGATGTAATTTCACTTCATAACACTAGCCTGGTAAAAGCAGCCTCTTGTTCTACACTTTAATTGCATTGTACAGAAGATTTGTACAAGAAGATCTGTACAGAAGATCCTGTTGAGAAATGATTACCTACAGGAGGCGTGGATTCTGCAAAACTTTTAAATGCCAGCCAGCCAACATTTGTCTGTAATATATATAATGCACCAGTTCAAATTAATGAAGTTTACTGGAAATGATCTGCTCTGTAAACAACCATCCTCCACTATGAAGAGAGAAGTGCTGATCCAAACGAAGTGGCTAACATTAATTAAATATTTGGAAGCTTGGCCAACATGAACCTGAATTTGATAAACATAAAACAGCGACGGTATAAATGAACATGGAATTTTTGATATTGAAATTTCTTTAACAAGATGTTTTGGTCCTGAGATCTCTCTGGCCAGTTGATTCTGTTTCCAGCACCAGAAATGCAAAAAAGACAACTCTTCATTTCTTCTCACAAAACCTTATTTGAAAACATCATTAGAATCCTTTTAAAGACAAGATTTTCACCTTCATATGGCACATTCATCATATGCTATATGAGGCTGGTTTCATTTCTTGTTAATGGTTACAGCTTTGAAACAAAAGAGGAAGTACTTAGTTTGCACGTGTATGGAGGAAGTGTGAACTGATGTCTGCTATTATTAGGTTTCAGGATGCAATAATTGGAAACATTTTCTATTTTGTTTATTTTTTGTTTCCAAAACCTGAAGATTATCCATTGAACAACCATTGAACATTTAAGGAGCGAACACTGAAAAACGCCATGTTAGACTTAGAAATAGTCTTTTATTTTAACACAAAAGAACATATGTAATTTTTGAGTTATACGAAACTACCTCAATATGTATCCTTTTTGACATGTCTTTAAAAACAAATGTTTTCTACAATTTTGTTTTACTTAGAGAACCTAGTTGGATGTTTTATTCATGGATGCAAATGTAAGCTTCATTAATAAAGTCTTGTTATGGATGCCGATCTTAGTTATTGCAACAGTAATGCACATATGCATCATCGAAGGGTACCGCCTTGTGTCACTGTGATTAGTTGTGCCTTAACTAGGTAATTTATGTATGAGGGCACTTATTATGACCCGAGTTTTACACCGATTGCCATGCCACATCTCATTTATTGGGAGCAACTGGCAAAGCCCCTCACAGCATCCATTCCATAGACTGAGAAAATAGTGTTCAAAACACAAAGATTGCATCTCTTAAACAAATAAAGCTTTAATGAAGTATGTTATAAGAAAAAGCCACGTAGTGGAAACAATAAGTGACATTTGCTCCTGTTACCTCTTTCCATCTATCTTGAGTATTTGGAGCAATAATGAAA